AGAGCCGGGAGTTGCATAATTTTGTAGAGTAACGTCCGGACTATCTACGCATGCAAAAAAGTTACTAACATTGTATGTTAGTTTTCTGAGAACGGAGCTGGTTTTCCAAAGATCCTCTGGAAACCCGGTCTCTGGAATTTTTTCAAAAGTTGTTTCCGCTTGTGAAAAGTTCTGCTAAAGTCTTGGTTATTGAACAGCGAAAATCGCAGGTCTCTATCCGTTGAAGTCATTCAAATGTGTATCTTCACTTCTACATTAGAAACAACAGGTCTGTGTAGGACGAAATAGTTTTCCTTGACAATTTTAGGATTTGTGGTAAATCATGAAAAGATATTTTCTGCTAGATTGCCTTTTTTAAATGCAAAATAATAGAGATATTCTACATTTGGTAACTATCCCAGTGATTTCTTTTCTTCTGGACACAACCTTAACACGCGTTTTTCTACGTGCAAGGAGAAAGTCGGGTTCACTTGCGTTTATTTCATGAGAACGAACGGGTTTAATTTTATAGTATTTCAGATGATTATAAAACACGCATCGCAGTGCGTTCCGTATGAAATTTTGAGAAAAACAAGAACTGAATGTAGCAAGTCCGAAGATGTTTGTGTTTTTTCTCAGGAAAACGGATTCGCACGCGTTTTTAATTGAAAAGAAAGTTGGTTTCGAAACAAAAACATGTCTGAGCGTGATTGCTAATTTAAAAAAGCGCTATTCGTGCGAAACAGTATCTATTTAACGACATCATTTTTCTAAGCGTTTCCCCTTCGTTTTTGAGGTAGCCGCGGACGAGTCACGATACCTGCAAAAAGATGGAAAATGAAAAGACGTTCACTCTAATTAGCCTAACTAGCCCCTTATTTTCGAACATCTTTTCTGAAAGAATTTATAAAAATTACTCTGTCCCGGATCTGTTCGAATGAAAATAAAACGGCGATAATTATCGTTCGGACGTGTTTCTTCAGAATAATTAGAAACGAAAAAATTAATAACAGGACCAAAAGGATTATGACTCATATGAAAGGTTTAGTAATGATTCTCATTTTTTGACCTAATTAATCAGTAAGAATGTGCTGATGCTGTACGCTTAGTAAAAGAATAGTAATTTTTTCAATTAAAAACTTTAATAGACATGTTTTGACATACTGCCCATGAGGAAATTTTATCGAAGTTTCGCGATTTTAAAGCAGTGCAGTTACGACATCAGCTGTTTGGTCACGAGTGAACTTTCTATAATTTCACATACGTTCACAAGTGAGAACTTCTTTTCACATGTGTCCACACATCATTTTACGACTTTCACTAGTAACCATGTACAAAAAATATTACGGGAAAAATATGCCGAAAAAAAGCCAAACTCGCCCATAAAATAGCTGTATTGTCGTTTATTAAATAGCCCTCTTGATGTTGTGTTCAGTTTCATCAAGCATTCTTTTATTCAAAGAAAATGTCTTATAATAAACGAACACGATCACCAGGAGAATAAAGAGATACAACTAACTTCCATGGTAATGGACAGTGATGAGTACTAACGCTTAGTTGATACTGTTTGTTTGTTCGCTTATTGAGTATCTGAATTTTCTTTTGGTCACAATTCAATATTAATTCAATTCTATCATTTCTGCATATATCACCGTCAAATCCATATGGTATACCATTTAATTCTGTTCCTTGAAGGTAAACCAATGCACATGTTTTATCCGTAGCTGCCCATCCATAGGCCGATTTTGCTGCGCATGCATCTACTCTAATCGTTGAGAATGAAGACGAAATTATTCCAAAAAACATCCAATTAACACCCTGCATTTTCTCAATTCTCAACGGAATACGATGGACACCATTTGAATATGATTTTGTTCCATAGACACTTCCATCTGTATCAAAATTTCCCGTATGAACCGCAGACTGACCATTATCCTCCAATTTTATAAAACCACAATATTTCTCAAAATTTTCCGGTACATTTGATGAGATATGTTCTGATGATTGCCGTCGTCTAAACACAACTTTGATCATATTTTTCATTAATAATGGATTAGTTTCAAGTTTCACATATTTTGGCATGTTTAATTCATCTTTTATTCTTCTGAATTTTCGTCTCCATTTAATCAAATCTGTTTCAACAAAATCTTCTGATTCCCGTCTTTCGGTGATTTCATTCGATAATTGAAGAAAATCCTTAATTAATTGTAATTTATTTTCGTTTATAATAAAATGTACTTTAGTTCGTGCTTCGTCAGCCGCTTGTGTAATAGCACGTTTTGAATCAGATTCCCATTTATCAATTTGATCTAGTAACGAATTAGATGAATATTCAGATGTAGCCAATGATAAGACTGATGACATTAACGTATTTTGTCCTTTCTCATCGTTCAGTTGCAATTGTGTACGAAGTAGACTATGCTCTTGAATTATTTCATCTAATTCTTGTGCTAATTGTTGATGATGTTCATATGTGTGACGTTTGCAGAAAACATTTCCACAGCCCTGACAAGAAAATATTCCAATACCGCCTACACATGATGGAGCAGAGCAACGAATAATATAAGACATTCTATGATTCTAAAACATAGCCACAACAATAAACCTTTATTCTATCAACAGAATTAGTGATCTAACTTACGTAAGACAATCATATTGCCGGTACTTAAAATTCTTTATAACTAAAGTTGGCTGTAATAAATATTAATAATTAAGAACTTCATTAGGCATGCAACTATCCCAAGCTAGGGCTCGCTGACCGGCACCGAACGGTTCGCTGCCGATCAGCGAATCCTAGCTTATGGTGGTTGCATGCCTAGTCTGGACTAAAGACAAATGGGATGAAATTGAAGTTTTTGAAGGAACTAACCAGTGAGAAAATAGACTAACTAAAGTACAATGTGAGTGAATGTGTGTTCTACCGGATCGCTACCGAACATGTTCGATTACCAAGCAATTTGTTACCAAAAGTTAAAAAAAAATAGTTTGTCAAAGCTAAGAACATGAGAGCGAAAAAGCACATAAAAGAAATCTTTGTAAAACAGAAAAAATGGTGAAGATTACATCAAACGAAGAAGCAGCCATGATTACGCCGTGGGCGTAGGTAGTCATGTAAAGAAAAGTTTGAATTAGAGCAGCAACTTTATTTTTGCTTTATTCCAAGAAGTTCAGAGTATCTTTAGTTTCCATTATATCTGATTTACCCTCTAACTAAAGCATACCTTACTAATGTGGCCTTTGTAGCAGATTGATTCACTTTGTTTTCATGCAAAAAATGCTTTTTCTCACTGTACAAATAAAGTAGACAGAAAGTTGTAGCCCTAGTTCAAATGTATACATAATGGGCCTTTATGGTACTTTGTGCTAACAGTTTCTCAGCAGAGCGCTTGCCGATATCTCTGATGGAAAAATATAAACTATCTTATTCGCAGTCTTCGTTCGAACCATTCGGGCACCGAACTATCGGACTGGGGCATGCCTAAGCATCATTATTATTACATTTGCGGCTTGTCAAGCTAACGATTCCCTTTTTTCGCTCATTTTCAAAAAATTACTGCAATAAAGCCACAAACTAGTCTAAAATTGCAACTAGATAATTAAGTAGATTAAATATTGTTCTACAAAATGAAAAGTGTCTCGGCTCTGAATGTTGATTCGTTTTGACAATACAGCTGTTGTACAAACAGTCCTACAGCATGTAATAGTTTGTCAAGTTCGAACGGTCAAAAGTATCACAGTGTCACGGTTTTTCTTTGATTATTGCGAATTAATTAGAATAATTTCGAACTTGAAAAACTAGCACATGTTGTAGAGCAAACGATTTACAAACTGGTATACTTGCTCAACTTTTGCGTGCTCGTCTGCACTCTTTTAGACACGTTTTTCAGATAGCCCCAAAATCGATTTTTTGGGCTGTTTGTACAACAGCTGTATTGTCAATCAACATTCAGAGCCGAGACACTTTTCATTTTGTAGAGCAATGTTTAATCTACTTAATTATCTAGTTGCAATTTTAGATTAGTTTGTGGCTTTATTGCAATAATATTTTGAAAATGAGCGAAAAAAGGAGACAGTTAGCTGGACAAGCCATGTGTACAATAATCATTTGAATATAAAACATGGTGAAATCATAAAATGACAAAATATTATTTATTGTATATTACCTTCACCTCGTTGCACACGGACACATTTCCAAAGATGGGTATTATCAAGAGGCGTGTCATTTACATTTAATACAATGAATAGAATAATCGGTATTGTATACTTTAAATCAAGGTCAACATCTAAGTTCAAATGATGATATGAAAACAAAATTATCTCTACTTCGTTATACAAACATAAAAATATTTATTTGTCTAATAATCCGATCATGTTTTTCCGATTGTCGATCAGTTTACTAGTGTTAAATATTTAATTCTATCTGACTGACTAACAGCAATCATGATGTATTATGTGTTCTCTGTTTTTATTACAATAATCTGAAGAACGAATACGAAAACATTTAACAGATCTATGTGCCTGTCTTTTATCAGTTTGAAAATACCGACCACTTGAAACTAATAAGGGAAGGTCCCCCACTGTCAAATCGCTCTTTTCGTCAAACCGATTGGGTTATGAGTATTTGACCACGTTGATTCCGAATATCACCATGCCAGATGCTGTAGGCCTCCAGAGGCGCGTTTTCTGGAAAACCAATTTTCCAAGGTGAAAACCTTTTTGACTTGTCCAGATTGAGGATGACATCGAGTTGTCTATAAAACACTACTTTTTCCATTTTGCAATGATTCTAGCTGACTTGAGAAGGATCAGAACTTCTAATGTACGAACAATCCCTTTCTTTCTTTAAAAATGTGTGCCTAGAAATGTGTTTGTAATTGCTAATGACCAGCATCGGTTGAATTCTTCAAATACAGTTTCTTTACGTGTGGGAGTAACATCTAACAGTCACGTTTCTCTGAAAAAGCCAGGGAAACAACTGACTTACTTCTATGGAAGCCATAGTGAAAAGGAAAAACTACGCTTGTAGATTCTGCCAGAATCGTTCCAAAATGGAAAAATCAGTGTTCTATACCCAACTCAATGTTCTCTTCAACCTGGACAAATCAAAACAGCATTTTCTGAAAAAAACTTTCGCCTTGGAAAACGGGTCTCTAAAGGCGTACGGGCTGCTGGCAGTTGAAAAATACTATCTAAAAACTGAATAGATAAAGATCTTGCTTTGACTACGTTTATGTTACAAGTTCAAAATAAAAATGTGACTCTTCTGAAGCCAAACAGTTTCAAGATTTCAGTTAATGTTTCGAGTTCTTCTAAGCTATTACTTTATTCGCTTGACTTAAGTCTGAGTATTAAGTCTGCATATCTTTTCGTCTTTGGAGCGTCTATACGTTGTTTAATCAGACTTTTTATAGTGGATCCTCTCATTTGTGTTTCTCAAAGAAACCAGACTAGTGCAAGTTTTATAAAACAGAAAAAGCGTGTTTACATTTGATGGTTGGACAGAGCGTAAAAAAGCATAGTACTGATTTTTGTTGTTGACAAAATAAACATGTTGTTTAACAACAAACAAATGGCTACCATATCTCATAAATAAAAAAAGCTTATATTGTATATGGAAGAAACGAACAATTAATATTTAACAAATTAATAAACACTAATTTGACTTCAATACGCTGTAGTTGCCGTGTACAAATTGAATTCTGCTCATGTGTCCAGGCGGAAAAATGCTTTCGTTAGCCGGCAAAATCTCTTAAAAATTAATCACACAAAGTTTTCAAGCTAGATCAGAGTTCGATTTCGGTTCAATTCTTCATCGAGATTTTATCAGAGAAAACTTAACAAAACTTTTATCAAGATTTCATTAAGATCTTAAGATTCTTCAAATTCGAGTAGATTTTAACTTTCTGCACGATTTGATGGTAACGACACCCTGATCACCCAGATCCTATCACGATCATACACATAATAGAATTCCTATTGCACGGTTCTGTAAAATCCTATAAGATCCAACGGCGAGAAAAATTCTACGATAAGATTTTGCAATTTTTCTTATTTTTTTGTTCTGCAGCGCAGCGCTCGGTTTCTGAGAAAAACATTAAGTACAACAACTCTCCTGTTGGTTTAATAACGTAGAACACGCGTACCGCAAGAGCGACATCTGTAGCTTTCCAGTTGAAACAGTGTTCAGTTACATATTCTAATTAATGTTAAATGAACTTATACTACTTACTACTTTATAGTTTTACTTACTACTTTATAGTTTATTTTACTTCGTTTATGTACCCTCTTTAGTTTTAATTTTCATACCAAATCCTACTGTAGAATCCTGCAAGGTCGTGTACGATCCTATGATAGGCTGTTCAGGATTCTTCCTACAGGAATCCTGATAGGATTTATTCGATGATCCTAGATGCGAAAACCCTTTGATTTTCTATAATAGGATTTCGTAGGAATTGATAGGATCTTACGTCGGAATCCCACGAAGTCTTACAGTCTGTAGGATCTCATAGGATCTTGTAAGATCCTACAAAGGATTCATTGACCTGGGTTTGTTTATACGAGAACACAATCACCGACGTGTTTTGCAGTAAGTTTAATATACATACAACTCTCCTGTAGAAAATAAAAAATAAGAATCTTGTAGGATCCTACGGTAGGATTGTTTGACCTGGATATTCAAGATGAATTGAACATACAGATTTGAATTGTCAAAGAAATCTGAAAGAATTATGACGTAGGAAAATGGACAGCACCGTTCAATCAATTATGTTTTTGTTCTATTATCCGTTCCAGAAGTCAAGGCACTCGGTTGTTTTTTGTATAATTTTTGATACGAACAAAATGAAGATCTGCGGTTTTCGCCGCTCGAAAGAGGAGACTTGGATGCATGTTTTCATAGCCAATATCATTTTCAGACGAGTTTTTTGAAATAGGTTTCCTAGGAGATCTTTGGAAAACTACGTCGTCTGTAAAGATTTTCCAATAGGGTTGTATTGCTTTTTTCTTATGGACTGATAGCTTAGGGTGTCGCCTTCAAAATGGGAGTAAAGTGAGACCTTGATTTTCCACGGTTCGAGCGTTGGTGCGGGCAATATTAGATAAATTAGGTTTCTTCATACTATCTATTGTCTGAATTGTGGTTCATTGTTTATAGATATTGATGAGGCAAAGAATGTTAGTGTGGAAACCATAGGTTCATGTCCGCAG